TCCTGTAGGGATCATCCACCCTGGATTCCCTGTATTTCCAGTTCCTATCTGTACCAGTGTACATCCTCTGGTCTAGCCAGACTTGCAAGGTAGGACAATTCCAACTTCTAATGACTCTACAGGACAGAGTAGAATTTCCCCTGTGCCTTTTTTAGGCTGTAAAATCTTTACAGGGCAGAAAGTTTTATCTTCTCTCAAAGTGGCTGCTGGGCTGACCTGCTGATCTTGTGATTAATAACCTAACCTATAAGCCACCAGGCCATCAGGGGGCTTAGAGCCCAGGTCATACTTGCTCCATAGCCTGTGTTCTTATTGGTTTATGCTGTACTGCCTGGATTCAGATGTTTGTTTTCCAGAAGCCCCAGGCTACTTTACTCGTTGGCATTGTTAATTCTCTAATTCTCGGGTGTATAAAGTAGCTTTACATCACAAAAAAAATTGTTCCTTTAAAAAAAATCTTCATTATATACTTAAATGTATTTATACGATGAGAAACATGAATCTGTTTAATACTGATAGTCAAATTCCACAGTGGATTTGTAAATTTATTCAAGGGTATGTAAACTGGAGCAGTTTAATGTGTACTTTTAAATGAGAAATAAGATCAAGCTTTTCTTTTTGGAAACATTAAAACAGAAAGCAAAGGTTATGTGTTTTTTGAAAATGAATAGATTTTGGTGAGTACTTCTGAAACCTCTTATTCAAAGTGTGGATTAGTGGCACTGGCATCCCTTGGAGCTTGTTCAGAAAAGCAAGCTCACTGCCATCGCATTTGCTGACTCAGCAACCCTATGGGCCAGGGTAGAACTGCCTCTGAGTTTCTGAGACTAACTGGTCATGGGAGTAGAAAGCCACATCCTTTCTCCTGTGGAGTGGCTGGTGGTTTTGAACTGCTTCAGTTAGCATCCCAGAGCTTGTTAGAAATGTATATTCAGGCTCTACCCCAGACTTTTGAACAGATTTGAAAAAACAACAAGATTCCTAGGTAATGATTTTGTACTTTAAAGCTTGAGAAGCACCAGGAAACAAATGTTAGGTTAATATTTTAAATATATATATACATAAGGGTAAGTCAAAAGTCTGGGTACGGAATTACAGATCATCAGCATGTGAAGCTATCATTTCTAGACCTATGCTCCATCGAGGCCTCTACCCTTCTGAAGGCAGTGTGTCCATTTCCCTAACCTGTTTCCAAAGGATCTCATGCTCTGCAAGCCACACCATGTAAAAACGGCACTTTCAGCAACTTCAGTCCATCTTCGAAGGACTCAGATTGTAGTCTCTTTAATTGTTGAGTTTTGATAACCAAAAGAAATCTTAAAGGGCAAGAACATGGTTGTATGGTGGATGAGGTAAGGTTTCCCAACAAAATTCTCATAGGACAGCTCTGGCTACCTGTGAAAAATGAGCAGTGCACTTTTTAAAAATTTATCAATATCACACTTTTGAAATCTTCCAAAACATTACTATAACGTGCTGAGTTGACCTCTGACCTGAATGTAACTGGCCCAGCGGTGCCCCTGTGGGAAGCCACTCTCAGTTGGATCAATGGATTGTGTTGGCAAACCAAAGACTTGCCCCTCATTATGTCTTTCCATAAATTTAACTTCATTAGTTTCAATATTGCTTAGAAGGTTGATAGCTCAATCTTTTGAAAGTTGATCTTAGCACAATGCTTTGTTAGTCTTTTAATTTTTTGTCGGCATCCTGAGGAAACTAAGACAAATATTGCCGACAGAACTTGATCACACCAACATGCTTAAACACATTTTGTTTAGAATAAACCTGTGTGTGTATGAACTGAAACTTTTTGACATATCCCTTGTAAATTTAAAAAAGGGATCGGAAGTTATAGATGGTTCCTTTGTTATCCAGCATGTCTGTGTTTCTGTACATTTAGGTGGATCACCACCGCAGCCAGTTGTCCCAGCTCACAAAGATAAAAGTGGAGCTCCACCAGTTAGAAGTATATACGATGACATTTCCAGCCCAGGACTTGGGTCAGCACCTTTAACTTCAAGACGACAGGTGATATATAGTGCCTTATGGTCTATATTTTATTCTTTTTATGTGACCACACAGTAAGTGTCAATCATTTGAAAGTTTTCCTAAGATCTATAGTATTTTTGTGGACCTTAGAAAAACAATTTATAACATAACTGCATTTCATAAAATAAGCATTAAGTACATTTATTATTCCATTTCTCAAGAAGGATGCTTAAAAATGTAGTAGAACCTGAGATCATTTTCTCATGTAGGTAATTTGTAATTTTTACAGGTATGTTTTTTCTGCTTGTCCAGTGGGATCCTTGTTGTAGTTGGGTGGACCATCGAGTTGATTCTGACTCACAGCGACTCCGTCTGCCCCATAAAGTCTCCTTGGCTGTGATCTTTATGGAACCAGATGTCCAGCTCTTTCTCTGGCAGAGTTGCTGGGTGGGGTGCATATTGCCTACCTTTCAGTTTGGTAACAGCACTGTGGTTCCTTTTGGGTGTGAGCACTTTGCCATTATGCCACCAGTGCTTCTCTGCATGACCCTTATTTACTTACTGTACCTGTAGAGCATGAGTTAATTCGTTATTCTAGTTCTTAAAATTGCTTATTGCTCATACATCAGTGAAAGAACACAGGAAGATTGAGAATTGTATCCAGACATAGAGAACTTTGTAATTATTTGAGATTTTTGTCTTAGGAATAGTCAGTATCAACACAAACTATTGGAAAAAGTTTGTGGAAAAACTTCATGCTCCTCTATTTTTACATGAACTTTGTGAAGCCCCTTTGTGTAAGAGCATTATCATCTTAGAGCCTTTTCCAGGAAGCCTCTTGCTTAGTGATGACTGATCATCTAGTATGTCCCTGCTGCCTTTGGTGGAGGTGCTCGGCTCATGGTTTTGTTTTCTTCCTGCAGTCAAGGATTGTACGCTGTAGACATTCTCTGTTCTCATGGAACCAGTAGTGACCAGAAAGTAGTACTTAAATCTGTACTTAATGTGTTCTCATCCTTATTTTACAGCGTCTCATGTATTATCCTCACACATAATTCTATGAAGTGTAGGTATTGTGGCCTTTATTTTATGAATGAGGAAGTAAGAACAAAGAAAGGTGTTTATGTGTTGAAGGCATAGCATCACCAGGCTTACCACCATGTAGGCTTGACTGTAGAGCCAATGTTTATAATAGCCATGCTATGCAGATACTCCTCTAACCATCCACGCCTTTTTAAAATGTTTTATCTCTGACCCCTCTAGATTATGAGTTACAGGTAGTATGGGCTTCTCCTTTTTAAGTAGGCCATTTTGTATCTTTTACAGATGCAAGTGTGTATGCCTATCACAGTTGTTCCTAACAGAATATTTAATAGCTTCAATCTTATACGTAAAGGCACTAGTGTTGGTATTTTTCTACTTTGTAGCTTTCTACTGGTAGTGGTAGAGGCATGTTACTCGGGTGTGTTATCAGGAAAGTTCTTCAGAAAGTACATTGTGTTTGTTAAGTAGAAGGTCTGTGAAAAGGAAGACTGGCAAGGAGATGGATTAGCACATTGCCTTCAATAGTGGGCTCAAATCTATAAACCCTTGGGGACCCTGTAAAGGGCTGGGCCGTGTTTCATCTGTTGTACATGGCTCACTGTGAGTCTGCACCAACGCAGTGGCACATAACAACCACAGCTGTGGGCTGAGCATGCTGCCTGTCATGGTGGAATCCGATGTAAACCTGTAGCATTGCATTGTTTGTTAGTGTCTGTCTAAAGTTCTGATCTTTTAAATATAAACTTGATGAATTTTAAATATTGAACATTAGGAACTATAAATAGCCACCATGCTACTTTCTATTAAAAAGAATTTCTTAAAACAAGTCTTACTTTCCTTTTTAAAACAATATGTTGAAAGATTTAGCATTGACACTGCTCACCGTTTTTTAAAGTTGAAGAGTACTTTTAGATTGTGAGTTAATGAAATGCATCCCCAGCACCTGATAGGTATTCAGTTGTCTGTTCAATGAAGATCTTGCTTAGGTTCTATATTGTTAAAGCTGTACCTGTTCATCTTGAATACGTTCTTCTATTTTCATGTAGGCAAACATTTCAGTAATGCAGAGTCCTCTTGTTGGGGTTGCCACAAGTACTCCTGGAACAGGTAAGCGACTCCTTTTAACACCAAAAGACCATTCTTTACTCTCTGAATGAAGGTAGTATTTACTCGGCGTTAACGTTTGCCAAAAGCTTTTCTCTAATAGTACACATATTGAGATTTCTTTAAATGGACATTTTAGGCTTTCTGTGTATGGCTCCTTAAAATTTTTCTAGCATTCAATCATTTCTTGATTTCAAAGTCACCTCAGCATGTTTTTGTATTTGTTACAGCACCCCACTTTAGGTAGCAACATTGGTATTTGTTTTTTCTAACTGCTATGAAAAATTTCCATAAATGCAGTGCCTTAAAACAACACAAATTTATTTCTTTTGGTTCCTGTAAGTGAGAAGTCCAGAAAGCACAGCTGAGCTGGGTATGCTATCAGAGCTCAGGCTTAAGCAGAGCCCTGCTCTTGTGATGGTTCCGGGCATGAGTCTACGTCCGACCTCATTCAGAATCAATTCCAGCAGAACTGGCAGGATTCAATTCTAGGTGGTTGCAGGACTGCAGTCCCTGTTTCTTTACTTGCTTTTTTTGGCTGGAAGTTGACTTCTGGAGGCCACCCTCATTCCTTGATTCATGGTTCTTCAAGCATAAAAGTCAACAATGATTATTTGAGTCTTTTTCATGCTTTGATTTTGTTTTTTGGCTTCACTTTTCTGTTTTTTTAGGGATCATGTGATTAGACTGGCCCATCTAGAATTAGCTAGAGTAAGCTCCCCTGTTTATAGGTAGTTGATGAGTAATTTTATCTGCTAAGTCCCTTGCACAACAATGCTTAGAAGTATTTGATTTAAATACCAGGGACCAGAAATCTTGTTCCAGGACATTTTTACACCATGGATATCATGGTCAAAAGTCTAGTATGTCACCTGATTTTTCAGCTACATCGTTGGGGTAGAATGTTTTAGTGGAATTCGTGCTGCTCATAACCAACCCTAACCTGCTTAGACTCACAATAAATAGATAGACGACAGTGCTTTGTTAGACCCACAGTAGTGTATCATTTTTTAAGTGAGTCAGTAAATGACCTCATAAACATTGAAAATGTAGAAACACACCATGCAAAGGGATGTATTCCATGCTTTCAAGGGTCTTTTAGCTGACTGTAAATCATTAATTATAATTTTCTTAGTGTTGGTTAAATGGAAGGGCACAGAATTAAAGTTAATTAAGTTTCCTCTGCTACCTTCCATACATGATTTCTGTGAAGTTCTTATAATAGTACAAATCTTATATGAAAATACACAAACTATGGTAAGAAAATTTTATTTAGCATAAGTTGGCCACTGGGAGCCACTGCTGCTTCTACTTTGAGTTTAAGGGCTTTATCTAAAGAAAGATTTACTGGTACAGAAATACAAAAAGTACATATTTTGAAAAAGGTGAGGTGAGTGTGGGATGTATATAATATCAAGCAAGAAATGAATAAAGGGGATTGATTTGAGAAATCTAGGGGTAAAAGTCTAGACTTTTCTCTGACAGCTATGTTCTTATTTTAACTCTTATAATTAGCATTAAGTAAATGAAGATTTCTTGTGTAATTTTAATTTGACAAGCAAGAAATGAATAAAGGGGATTGATTTGAGAAATCTAGGGGTAAAAGTCTAGACTTTTCACTGACAGCTATGTTCTTATTTTAACTCTTATAAATTAGCATTAAGTAAATGAAGATTTCTTGTGTAATTTTAATTTAAAAGAAATGAAGACATGTTGTGTAAGTTTTAAATCTGAGAATAGCAGATTGTATAAAGAGATGTCATTGGGTTTAATGGCATCAGTACTATTTAATGTTTGGGTCTTTATGCATAGTAAGACATTTTTGTCTTTTATTTTGTTTGTTTTTGATTCTGTACCTGAAATTAAGTTCTTATCCAGACTGTTATGTCTGGAACGAACAGAAACAACTTAGCCGTATGGCGAAGTGGGAAATCAGCATTAGACAATTTCAGAAACACTTTTCAGTTATGCTATATTATCATCTCGGGTGAAGAATGTATTTGACTTATCTTTCTCCATCGCCACCCCTGAGTTTTCTTGTACTATAATTTTATACTTATCTCTCCTTTGCCTTTTTAAAATTTATATTAAGTTTTCTCTTGAGCTGTTTTTCACATTGATCTGTCATTTCTCTTCAATGTTAGATCACTTAAGTTTTCATAAATTAAGCCCTGATTTGTGTTAACATATTGTTAGCATGGTAAGCTGTAGACTGTAGCACTTTTGGCTGCTTTTGCTGACGATGGTAGGAATTCAGTGTTCTGATAAGTTTTCCCAGAAAGTGGGGGAAAGGACTAATTTGGCTTACTTACTGTAATACTTTATTGTTATTTTTATTCTGATCTGAGTTAGCTGCTCCTTGTGTGCACCCCTATAAAACTTTGGGCTTGGTTCTTAATCTTTTTACATTACTGGATGATGATGCTCCTTTAGAGCAAAGATGAGATTCTTTCTATAAAGAGGGAGCTAGGCACAAAAGGATTTCAATGAGTGTTTGTTGTCTCAATAGTTCGTGGACTTAGGTTGTAGTGGGTTGTTGAAAAACAAACACACACAACAAAACAAAACAGACCCATGGCAATCAAGTTGGTTTTGATTCATAGTGATCCCTAAATAAACCTCCCATAAAACAAACCAACAACAAAAACAAACTCACTGCCATTGCATTGATTCTGACTCAGAGACCTTACAAGACAGACTAGGCCTGCCCCTGTGGGTTCTGAGACGGCCCTGAAGAGCCGGCTTCTTCTGGAGACTGAGTGGGGAATCTATTTCCTTGTCTTTTTCTGTTTCTGGCTGATGCATGCTTAGACTGTCCATCTATGTGCTATTGTGGATAGTGCCATGGTAAACGTAGGTGTGCACATGCATGTTTATATTTATGTTTCTTCTAGGTGCAGATGCATGCTTATATGTTAGATCTCTAGGGTACACATACCTAGGAGTGGGATTGCTGGACCATAAGGTAGTTCTGTTTTTTAATGAGGAAATGCCATTTTGTTGTACCATTTTACAATTCCACCCTAGTGGATAATGGTTCCAGTCTCCCCACAGTCTTGCCCGCTTTTTTCGTTTTCTGATTTTTTTAATGCCATTTTTGTAGGGATGAGCTAGTATTTCATTGTTGCTTTGCTTAGCATCTCTTTAAGGAGCTTTCGGCAGCGTTGTTGGATAGGCTTTGGACTACTAACCACAGAGTTTGTGGCTCAAACCCACCAGCAGCTCTTCAAGAATAAAATGAGGCTATCTGCTTCTATAAAGAATTACAACCCTGGAAACCCTATATAGGCTTGTTAAGAGTTGGAATCAACTATGTGCTGTGAAGTGGGGTTACTTTTTTGGAATGGCTCATGATCATTGTCATTTTTCATGTGTTTGTTTACTCATTGAATATCCTCTTTGCTGCAGTGGCTATTCATGTCTTTTGCCCATTTTTAAACTGGGTTGTCTGTGTTGGAAGAATCTTAAATTTTATTTTATTTTCTAACAATCCTTTAATATACAGCCTGACTGTCGAAGCTGGTGAGCTGACTATAGGAAGTCTGCTTTTTAAAATGCAGATTTTCACTTCCTTATAGCCTTACCCAAGCTCACTGCCATTGAGTCCATTGTGACTCTTAGGACAGAGAACTGCCCCTTTGGGTTTCCAGGAGCAGACAGCCTTATTGGTCACCCTTTGAACCACGGTGAGTGTACTACTAACCTGGTGTTTAAGCAGCCCAGGGTGTAACATCACGACACCAGGGTGCCATTGTTCATGTTACCGGTGCTCTGTTCACTGTGATTGGAATCATGAGTCTTGAACCTTTTAGATTCCGTTTCTTCAGAAACTAGATTCTTGATGTCTTGGAGACAGAGTGGGAAAGGATTAGTTAGTTACCTGGCTGCCTAGGATGAAGAGAGGCATAGGAATTAATCCTTTAGTAAGCATTTAAAACTGGTTCTCCTTGATTCCAATCATGTAGTATTAAATTAAAAGTGGCGCGGGGGAGTGGGGTGCCAGCCCCACCCGCTGCTTGAACTCACTGGTTCAGTAATACTACTTCTGGGTTCAGTAATG